CTAAGAATTAGGCAGAATTCTAATTTTATGGCCCTAAAATGCCAAAAAACGAGGAACTATCATGGAAAGCGATGACTATTGTTCCTTAGGTCATTTTTTATATGCTGGTAATATTTTAGGCGATTCGGGTCCGGTCGCGTAGATGCATGTAGATGGCATTTTAGGGCGTAATTCTAGTTTTATGGCCCTAAAACGCTAAAAACCCGAGAAAGGTCATGGAGAAGCGATGACTATTGTTCCCTAAGTCCTTTTGATATGCCTATAAAATTTTAGGCGATTCGGGTCCAGTCGCCCGGATGCATGAAGATGGCGTGAGCTATAGCACATAAAATTCTGAGAATCGGGCGAAATTTGATGGGCTAGTAAAATTTTAGGTGATTCATGTCCGGTTGCACGGAACCATGGCATAGGCTATAACACACGAAAATTTAAAAATCGGGCAGAATTCCAGTTTAATGGCCCTAAAGCACCAAACAATGAGGAAAGATCATAGCGAGGCAATGGTTAATGTTCCTTAGGTCATTTTTTATGGCCGACAAAATTTTAGGTGATTCGGGTCCGGACACCGGACCCATGCAGATGGTGTGGGCTATAGCAAATGAAAATCTGAAAATCGGACGGAATTCCAGTTTTATGGCCCTAAAACGCAATAAAGCAAGGAACAGTTATGGCGAGGTGATGACTAATGTTTCTTAGCTCTTTTCTGATGAACAGACAAAATTTTAGGCGATTCGGGCTACTAAGGATATAGCACACGTAAATCTGGGAATCGGGTGGAATTTTTATTTTAAGGTCCTAAAACGCCACAAAATGAGGAACGGTCATGGAGAGGCGATGGCTAATGTTCCTTAGGTCTTTTTTTATGGACTGGAAAAATTTTAGGTGATTCGGGTCCACACGCTAGGTCCCATATAAATGGCGTGGTATAGCAAATGAAAATATGGGAATCGGGCAGAATTTCAGTTTTATGGGCCTAAAATACCAAAACAAGAGGAACGGTCATGGCGAGGCGATGACTAATGTTCCTTAGGTAGTTTTTATTCTTAAAAAAATTAACTATTGGCTAACAGTGAAAAAATTAGTAAATTTAAAAATAAAATAAAAAACTAAGGGTACCGGTTTGGTACCTTAAGGGTACCAACTGGACCGATTCAAGGGTATTTTGTTTGGTTCGCTACCCCTCCCCTTCCCCTAGCCCCAATCCCTTACCCCTACCCCCTCCCTAACCGGATCGGGATGGAAAAGTACCGATACTGGTACGAACCGCACTGGTTTCCGATACTCCCCCCTCCTAGACAGCCTTAGTTCTGGGATCTTGCAATACGAGTTTATGATTATATGTACTTTTTCATGCGTATTAGTATATACTTATTTTATAGAACTTCTTTGACGAAATCTGATTGGACTAAATTCTTGTAGGTCCATAGGAAACGATCTTGTGACCAATACTCATTACTTCGCCATTATTTTCAGGTTCATTTTATGGAAATTCGGGTTCATGCAATACGAATTTATGATTATATCCACTTTTTGTGTGTTAATGTAGAATTTTTTTTTACGGAGTTCGATTGGCCTAATATTTCGTAGGTTCATAGAAAGCAGCCTATTGACTAATATCCATAGCTTCGCTATGACTTTCGGTTCATTTTATAGCATTCTAGGTTCATGCAACACGAATTTTTGTTTATATCCACTTTTTCGTGCGTTAATGTACCTGCAAATTATATTGAATTTTTTGACGGACTCCGATTCGCCTGAAATTTTGTAGGTTCATAGAAAATAGCTATTGACCAATACTCATCGCTTCGCCATAACTTTCGGGTTCATTTTATGGTGTTTGGGGGTCATGTAACATAAATTTATGATTATATCCACCTTTTCGTGTGTACATGCTGATTTTATAGAATTTTTTTGAGGAACTCCAATTGGCCTGAAATTTCGCAGGTCCACAAGAAAAAACCTAGTGACCAATATTTATTGCTTCACTATGACTTTCAGGTTTATTTTATGGAATTTTGTGGTTATACAATACGAATTTGTGATTATATTCACTTTTTCGTATCTATTAGTACATGATGATTTGTACTAATATAACTTTGCAATTATTTATTAGTATTGGAATGAACTCGTACATGTGAATTCTAGCATAATGTGTTGGAGTGAGAAATTTCGTGTATGTGAAACTCCAACATAATGTGCTAGAATTTGGAATTTTACAATTCAAAATTCAGAATATTATGCTAGAGGTCGTATAACAAATAACTCGTACTCCAACATGTGTTCCGTTCTAAAATCTATATATTATTAAAAGGAGAGGATAAAGCCCTCTCCTTAAGCCAAGTGGCATCATAAAACAAAAGCCACATGGCACAATTAGTTATTAAGTAGTTTTTTAGTTAATAATTAGTTATTAGTTATTATATTGGGAAAAGATCCAAAATTACCCCTCTACTATGGTATATTGTTTACTTCTGCCACCCGTTATACTTTTCGTACAAATCTATCCCTACCATTAACAAAGTTTGTAAAATTACCCCTAACCCTACGTTTTGACACTGTGGCAGCTGACCCATCTAATATTTTGTCCATGCCAGCAGCCAAGTCAGCAGGTCCCACCAAATAAAATGCCAAGGTGGAGTCCATATCACCACTTTTAATATATCTTAATTATCTTAGTCCATATTACCACTTTCTATCAGTATTTTTTTTTCCAGATTTGCTTGCAAAGAAATATAAGAATGAGAGATGACAAAATATGGTCGACGACGAATCGTTCACCACTGGGCCTAGCCGGTGGTGGTATAGATCTGAAAGCCGGAGAAATTTTTAGTCACTAGATCTGCCGGATCTACATACTTCCAATGAACAAAACTAAACCACATCGCAAAGGACGGCCATTTTCATCTATTTCCGGCAAGGTAACGCCAGTGAAGGCGTGGTGCCAGTCACCAGATTCTGGCAGCATGGCCGTATGAACGAAAATAAAGGAGGAACAGCGGCTGAGCATATGAAAGATGGACGAGCACCTGGTACGAAGGTCCGCCGGCCAGCCGATGACCAAATCCACTGCCATTAGTCTTCTTCCTCTCCGGCGATTTGAGTAGAGGAGGAAATGAGAAATAAAAGGAGGGGGAAGGATTACCGGAGGAGATATATATATATANTTTGTTACTTTATTTTAATTAATAAATATAGATATCTCATAATTAGTTATAATAAAAAAATCGAAAATATAAATATATAAAAAATAACTACACATTCAAATTGGGTGGGAGTAGTTTCAAGTTGGAGTGTTAAAATTATTTAAAATAAAAAAAAGAAAAATAAAATTAACTATAATAAAAAAACCAAAAAAGAAGAAGAAAAACTACCCATTCAAATCGGTGAGTAGTTTCAAGTTGGAGTTGTGAAATAAAAAATGAAATAAAAAAATAAAAATTACCATTTCAAATTGGAGAGTAGTTTCAAGTTGGAGTTTATAATTGTTTTAAAATAAAAAACAAAAATAAAGCAATAAAAAACTTTTGATTCAAATTGTGGATCCGGAGTAGTTTCTTTCTAACATTCTATATTCTATATATCTTCTATATATTATTAAAAGGAGAGAATAAATCCCTCTCCTTATGCCAAGTGGTAGCCTAGGAAAAAACCTTATGGAATAATTAGTTAATAACAAAGAAATTATCTATTGAAAATTAACAAAGAAATTAACAACCTAAATTAACTACTAAAACATGGGGGAGAGTTGGTTTAGGTTAGTTAATTTATTTATTTCATTTTTTAAAATCATTTTCTTTTTTATTTTTTGAAATAAAAATTATATCTATTCATTAAAATTCAAACAATATTTATTGAGAAAAATATAATAAAATTCAAAATAAAAAATAAATATTTTCTAGAGTAATAAAATGTATATCTTATATTATATTACAAAAAAATAGCAGACAAAAATATTAAACAAGTAATATGCTAATAATCTATCTATATATTATTAAAAGCCAAAGAAAAAGGCACCACATTAATACAAGTGGTAGCCTAGATAAAAGCCACATGATATAATTAGTTAATAACAAAAAAATTATTTATTAAAAATAAACAAAGAAATTAATTACTCAAATATCGGTGAGGGTTGGGTATATCGCATTGACAAATAAAATGACAATTAAAATTTGTTAAAGCAATACGGTCTAATAGTATCAAACAAGAATGATTATAATTTAATTTTTTCTTTTTTTATATGGACCGCACTTCCCGCTGGTACGACTACTAGTTAAAATGAATATACCCAGAAGCAGAGGCGGATCCAGGATTTGAGGCTTATGGGTTCCTACCGTAATTTCAGATTAATATGAAATAATAACTGGGTTCACAATCAGAATTTCTTAATATAAATACAGGGTCTACGCAAGAATTACTGGGTTCCCGGGAACCCGTAGTCCATGCACTAGGTCCGCCCCTGCCCAGAAGTGCTCCTAATGCTATAAATCTGTTTTTGCGTTAATCTCCTAATACACGGATATGAAAAATGTGTTAACTCACGAATCAATTAAATTAATCAAATTAAGTGTTTCCATTATCTGACACATTTAGAAAGCTAAAATTATTGTTACCGTGAATACGATGTTTGTTTAAATTTTATTGTATCGTATCGTTAAATCCATCGTTACGTAACAGCGAAAAGTGCCACTTTATGAAACGACAGATTTGGTGTGGTAGCGTCGTTACCTTGCTTTTTTCTCTTATCTTGTGCTTCCTTATTATTAAATAATTATATTTTATCCTTTACCCTACTCTTTTATATAATAATTCTACTTCATATTCTATTTTTTTTAGTAATATTGCAAGTTTATTCTTCATATTGTAAGTGCATGATATCATAACTTTCAGACAAACGATATAATCTGTCCAAATATTGTATTCATCAAACAATACAATACAATACAGTACAGTATAATACAATACATTATGAAACGACACATAACAACAATCCAAACAAGCTGTTAGAAAGCTAAAATTATTGTTTAAGCACTAGCAATTTTGGAAGCTTTAGACTGAGCACTCGAAAATGGTTGAGTAAAGATTAATCCTTAATGTTATTATTATAATCAACAACAATGCAGCTAATATGGAACCAAGTTTGAGCTTTTAACTTTAAATAGGTACCTTCAGTTCTAGCAAAATCAACATTAGAAAAACAGCAAAATCAATATTACAGAAATGAGAAAAACATTCTTCAATTTGCATTAAGCGCTCGTGCCAGACGCTTAACGTCAATTAACCTTATACCTCGTCGCAATGTACCTGAAATATCAATTAAACTTGAGCAACATAGAACGACAAGAAAAAAGACATGAAAAGTATGTAGTGAAAGGTTTGGAGGGTGGTTATCCGTATGGATGACCTAGGATCGAAACCTCCCTCAATGTTTACTGGGCTGAGCCTGTCGCACAGCTTTGCCAAGTGCAGTTTACTTCCCCTATGTGATTTGCAGGGCATTACATAGAAAAAGGTTTACCCAATGCGCACAAAGTGCTCACCCCAAGGGCAGAGGGCCAGAGGCTGTGCCAGAGGTTGCAGCAGCTGCGGGTTTCCCCTCTTACAAAAAAAATAAAATATAAAAAAATAACACTTACTCTCCGTAGAAATATTGTCATTTGACGTTAAACTGGTCCCAATTTCATGATTGTCGCTTGAAAGAGAATTCAATAGTCGAGCAAGATGTCTTATTTGATATAAAGGCAGAATATTTGGACCTCTCTGCACTTTATTCATCCTTTCTTCTGCTCCTGTTCAATCATAAAAACAAAGCTGAATTTTTTATGTAAAGTTAATATAACAGTTTTGCCACCCTAGACAACCTATGTCTAACAAAATCATTGGCCTTAATAACTAAGCAAAAATGGCACCAAATATGTAGCCTAGAAGTTAATGAAGTGGGTGAAAACTACAGAAAACAAAAATTGAAGTTTCAATAAAGAAAAAAATAATGTTAAGCTGTTTCTAAATATTACTATGTGATTTCTTCTTATCTGACTAAGCCTTGGTAGGCAGATTTAGTGGTACCAATATGGTGGGAGGTAACCAAAGGCGGATCCAGGATTTGAAGGTCAGAGTTGCACTTTTGGATTCAACCAAAATCTTCTTTATATAGTGTGCTCACTATATATATATACATAAAAGTTTTGCCAAACTTTATTTGTGCCAGTGGCCCTTCTCGGTGTATCATAGGTCCACCTCTGAAGATAACAGGTACCCCATAAAATAGTCGAGGTGCACCTATGTTGCGCGGACTCTCCAAAATATTGCTGCACCTGTGTCGGATCCTCCAAAAAATAACTACATTTGAAGGATCCGACACGCACCCGACTATATTTTTCGGAGAGTCCGAGCAACATAGGTGCACACAAGCTAGCCCAGATACCACTGTTATTAAAAAAAAAAAACTAACCAAATCAATACTTATACTATACATTACCTACCTTGGTGCAATATATAACTTGATGCAGCTGATTCTTCTTGTGATTTATATGATTCAGGATGAAATGTTGCCTCAGATGATTGAAGCCCAAGTCCTGAAACAGGAACAATTGCTTGATTTTCTTCTTCATTTGAGTTTCCACAACTAGTACTCTCATAATTTTGACAACTTGAAAATGAATTATTCAACACTCTTTGTCTTCTCAATTGATAGTTTCTTCTACGTCTAGCTAAATGTTTTTCCCTCTCCTCAAGACTCATTGTTTGCCTTCTCAATCTATCGCGAATTCGACGACGTTCTCTTTCTTTTTCTTTTTGTACATTTCGCCAATTCTTTACAACGTGCCACTCTTTAGTTTCAGATAACTCTCCAGTAGCCATTGAACCATGTATTGTTGAAGCTTTGCACCAGCCTGATTGCACTGCAACAGAAAAATTCATGCTTCAATCAGTTACAAAGAGACAGAAATGTTTAATGTTGGAATAAAATGAATCTGAATAAAGTATAGCCTGAATAAAATGAATCTGAATAGAGTATAGCCTTTGGCTAAGTGATCAAATCCAGTATGTGATGTGTAGGGTTAGGCGCACGTCATGAGTTCAAACTTTGCCGCAGATAAAAGACGGTAATTACAGCAGGGACCAGTGTTATGAAAGGCGAAAAGTGTAAAAAAGCTCTAGGGTCTGTTGGGGCTTTAAATATAAAGCGTGGGCTTTAATGAAGAAAGGCGCAAACAGAGAAAAACTACGAATATACATGTGTAGTCCAAGACTAATATCTATAAGCATGAATACCAAATATATGGATAAAAAAATTGAAGAAAATTTACAATAAAGTGAAATATCAATTGTTTAGTATCGCCTCTTCAGAATTACGCTTGTTGGCAAGGAAAAGTATGTTGTAGAGCCTTGATAACAACACTGAAGCGCCCGCTAAGAGACGCGAAGCGTTCAATATATTTTGAGCATGGCTTCAGGGCTTAAGCGTGCCTTTGATAACACTGACAGGGACAAAGTGCACCTCTGTATCGATTCAATTACTCTTTTTATCTAGTCGATGGAACCAATGAACCACAAAATACCAAAAATATTGACATGTAACTAATTTATTAAGAGGATTAGGTGAAATATGAATGTACTGGTAAGAGCTATATAATGTCTAATATCATTGAAATGTAAAAAGAAATAGTACAAATTATATGTAGCTTGTAGCAGGCTATGATTTTCTTTACTGTAATAATAATATTCAATAAGCTCCCAATAAAATAGACTCTACATACATATGATGCAAATGTCAATATCCGACACCGGATGGAAAACCAAAAAAAAAAAATTACCTTAACTCAATATCCCACGTCCTTAATCATCCATAACACACAAATCTGCATCCATAGATAAACACAGAAAAAAAGACTTTAATTTCTGAATAATCACGAAAAATCCAGGGGGGAAATGATCTTTTTTGAAAAAGCTCACAATAAATAAATAAAAATTAATTCTTGATAGGGACTGAAAGACCTACCTGTGTTAATGGTGACTGAAGAGAGGGATTTGTAATTTCAGATTTAAGAATAGATAGAAAAGAAAGCTGAGCTGGTTTTTTTGTCCTTAATAGAAAAAAATACAAACAAAATCTTTTAAACGCCATTTTTGGTTATTGGTTAAAGGTTTATAAACTTAACAAATTAGAATTTGCCACCTTTACACAAAGGGAACAAAAAGATCTGTTTTTATGCGAAATTTGGGGATGTAGATCCATTTGGCTTGCTTTTTACATTTGTAACTAACTGACTATTAATCAATTACTCAGTCCTCATCTAAATTTTGTATTTAGTAAAATCTACTATACATATATTGCTAATATTGCCTCCCAAAAAATTTCCTTATTTTTCTCAAAATTGATCTCTTTCCCTTTTTTGCTATTTTCATGGGGAGAAAGTAGATATTATTTGTGAAATATAAGTGGGAATGCCTCCTCCAATTAAATTTTATTGTGTGACTAATATGGTGTAATAAAATAACAATTAGAAACAACGCAAGACATGAAATGTAGATTATATCAAATGAGAGATTTATTTATGTTTTTTTGATAATGGTGGTGTCCGGAAGGGGAGCCTTCGCGTAACTGGTAAGTTGCTGCCATGTGACCAGGAGGTCACGGATTCGAGCCGTGAAAACAGATTCTTGCAAAAATGCAGGATATGCCAGCGTACAATAGACCCTTGTGGTCCGGCCTTCCTCGGACCCCCGCGCATAGCGGGAGCTTAGTGCACTGAGATGCCCGATAATAATGGTGTCCAAAGGAATTTGCGTGTAGAGCAAATATACATTTTCAGCCCAAGGTGGCACTCAATCTACAGCATTTAAAGAGATGTACAACTAAAGAATAGCATGCAAACATAAAGGGAAACAAAAAAACAAGAAACCTAGTACTCAATTAGAAGAGGCTGAAACTGGATTTCATTTATACAAACATTAGCAGATAGAGCTCAAGATCTAGTTGAGAAAAACCAATAAACTTGGAGAAAAATGACAAAAACCAGATGTTGAGACATGGAATCTATTTCAGACTCGCGATATTCCTCCCTGTGCTGGCATGTAAAAACCTAAGATTTCATACTCCGAGCTTTGTATATGAGACGAAAAGGGTTAAAAATACACTCTTCTAGTCTTCAACAAGATAAACGTCGAGATCATATGGCAAAAATGTACAGATGTTTGACAATAGTAGGCAACAAGTTGTCATCTCCAGGCAGAAGAAGTTGCTAAAGCTCTATTTTTCCATCCAAGATAGAGTGCCCCTTCGCTTTCTGCAAACCTGTAATTTGGGCTGTACTCCTTCAACACGCCGTTGATGGTCTCGCCAACTGATGGACTCAATGGACATGGAGTAAATCCGGCCATCATAAGTCTCAACCTCCACTTTCCAAAAAGTTCGTGCCTTTCCACTCTGTCGGCCCCCTCACATGCTATTATGTTGACAACGTCCCGTGCCACACAATGCTCCTCTGCACTGATCCGCTGCTTGTCATCCCTAGGGCGAGCTGCATCAATTGACTCGAACATTGCTGTATAGTAATCAAGAGTTTCACGGAACCTTGGAAGGAAAGGGGCGGTGTTCGTGTTCGATTCTTGTTCAACTAAGGTCACAATTTTGGGAGACAAACTCTTAACTAGTCTTAATAGGCGGTCTCGATGGTTGATCGTGCTTACGCTCTCGTCCGGCATGTGGTGCAGCATGTAAGGGAAGTTTACTGCCAGCGCTTCTCCATGCCTAACATGAAGATTCTCTAGTTGGACCTCACAGCCTGATAGTGCAGCACCGCGGAATTCAAAAGGTACTCCGCATGACTTGGCAACTTCTGCTAGCCTTTCACCTACTAGCTGAAGTCCTCCACCTCGTGCATGAGCTGATTGGGAATCATCAACACCTGTAATGCGGAGAAATGGGGGTCCACCAGGCCGACGAGCAAGATCGTGGAGGAGGAACATCCACTGACTTCCCTGTGCAATCTGAAAATCAATGATATGGACTCTGTTCTCATTCGTCATGGCTTCCCTGATGACGACATTTGCAGACATATAAGCAAATTTGTAGTATGGGCACATGTTATAGATGACTTGCATATAAGATAATAACTCCGAGCTAGTCGGCTCTTTGCACTTCAATTTTTTGTATATGATGCTTCCTGACGATAGTAGTCGTGCTCTAAGCCCTTCCAACACGTATGCACTCAATCGTTCCATAGGTTCCCCAAAGACTGACACCCTTTGCTCTAAAATATTCATAAGAACTTCAGCAGTTGAGATATCAGCATCTGACACTGCTTCAGCACAGGCATCGAGCAACTCTTTCAGGTTCAAGCTGGGGGCCATGTCCAACACTCGGTTCCACCTTGTCAAGGAAGAAGGTTTCGAGACCACATCATTGAAGGAGCAACTGCAGCTGTCGTCAGTATCAGATTCAGGCCCCAGTAATTTATTCTCCAGCTCCCGAAGCACATGTTTCAGGTCACCATCATCAACTCCTGAACACCCACTGAAAGGTGAACCACAAGTGTTGTTATCAGAGGAATGATGCAGATCAGACATGTATGACTGTGAACATTGCGGAGATAACGGACTCCTGTTGGAAGAGACACTTAAGGCAGGAGGTGAATCGTATACAACATAGTCAGTAGCAGGCAATGAATCCAGAGTGAAGAAATGTTCATTCTGAGTCTGAAAAGCAAACTGTGTCACTGAGCTAGTATTATAGCAATTGTTGTTCTTGAAATGGTAAGGGGCGTAATATTGCTGACCTTGCTGCACTGGCTGATTGTATAATCCATGGACGCCGCCAGACATTTGAGGTCGTTGGGATGCTTGCATCTGGAATATCAAAATGACTAAGAAGATGAAGAGTGATTTCAAACAACCGTTTTGGAGGAAAGCTATCTTAGTGAAGATAAGACATCCAGATTAGCAAATCTCTCTCAACTACAAGTAGTCACAATATCTCAAGGAGTAGCGCTTCTTTCAGCAGCGAATGACAATGTTAAATCTGAAGAACTCGAGAAAGATTTGCTACTCCGTGATGTGTCAGCAAAACCTATATAACAAACAGAACCTGCCAAGAATGGGAAGCATGATCAGTCAAAGCACATACTAATTAATAATGATGCTCTTAAGCTAAGAGAACAATTAGAAAGGAATATGCCGAGAAAGTATAAATGAATGCACATCTACTTATGAAAAAAGCAAAAAAAGAGCAAAAGCAAAATACGAAGACGCTCATGAAAATGGGCAAGACACAAACTATTACCATCCATCTTGGAAATCATTCTCCGGATAATAACATCCAAGGGTTTCTAAACTTGATACTTATTTTCTACAATCCCGGAATCGCTGAGGATTCATCTCTAATAACATTCCTTTCTCTTCACCAAGACATAATTTCCATATATAGCAATAAACTACATTAGTTAAGAAAAAAGTTAACAATCCCGGAATCGCAGAGGGTTCATCTCTAATAACATTCTCTTCTCTTCACCAAGACATAATTTCCATATATAACAATAAACTACATTAGTTAAGAAAAAGTTTAACCAACCCAATCTCTACGAAAAACAGGAAAAGCAAGTACATCCTTAACGGCCTCTATTCCTGACGTGAACGGCCGCTTTCTTGGAACTAATTCATAGGCCTTCTTAGAATTAGAACCCGTTGAGGGGGGCCTCGGCCCGGGAACGGGAGAGTGGCCAAGTGGTCAAAGGCGGCAGACTGTAAATCTTTTGAAGTTTTTCTACGTAGGTTCGAATCCTCCCACTCCCACTTGTTTGTTGTAGATTTCAGAGAAGAGAAAAGAGGCATTCGTCAGCGTAGGAAGGCCAACCAAGCGAAACTCTTTCTTTTTCCTCATTTCTCTTGAACTAGGAAAGTTCGATTCATTCGACAGCCACACAGAGAAACTAGACAACAACAACAACGACAACGACCCAGTGAAATCCCACTAGTGGGGTCTGGAGAGAAACTAGACATATTAGGCAGAAAAAAGAGAACACTAAAAAGAGGCCCTACATCAGAGAAGTTAGGTTTGCAGCTTGTAATTAAGGAAAGAAAAAAGTGAAAATTAAATATAACTAACTCACATCTAGAAAACAAATAGAAAAATAGCAAATGAACTAGGAGTTAATCAATCTTTAACTTTCAAATGAGTCATAAAAATATTAATTGCAGTAGCAAGTTTACCATAGAGTCAGAAGCATATCAAGAAAAGCAAATACCTCTCAATTACAATCAACTAATCAGCCTTTATTAGCTTATTTAGAGAAAAGGTAATAGAAAAAGAAAGCCCCCTTTTTTTGGTGTACAAATCAAATGCCAAACATCAAGTTTCCTTTTTTATTCACTGGATACTTCAACTCAAGAGATAAATATGAAATCCATGATAAAACTGTAATCATGGAAAGCTAGCTTGAACATTAGAAAAAGGCAGCCCGGTGCATCAAGTTACCGCTATGCGCGGGGTTCGAAAAAGGCCGGACCACAAAGGTCTATTGTACGCAGTCTTATCCTACATCTCTGCAAGAGGCGTTACATGGCACCAACTTTACTAATTACTCCAAGGCAGCAACTTCACCGGTCATATTAGAACAAATTAATTCTGTACCCCCACTCCCCATCCCCCCAAAAAAAAAAGAACAACCCCAATTAAATGGAAAAATAAATAGGCAATTAAAAGAAGATGAAAAAAGACTTGAAACAGAACTAACAGAAGGAATGAACACCACAGAGACCTAAAAAACCAAAACTCTGATAAACTAGAAAACAAAGGAATAGACCTAAAAAACTTCAAAGATTACCCCTTCTCTCACTCCATGAATGAATTGAACATAAAAATCAAAACTTTATGCAAAAATAGAAAAATCAACTCCCCACCCCCCACCCCCCCACCCCAAACCACCACCATAAAAAAGGAAAAAAAGAGAAGGGAATTGCCAATAATCTCTTACCAACAACATAAAAATCAAAACTTAATACAAAACAAATTAAAAAAAATCACTACTTATACACCCCCATCACCTCAAAAAAAAAGGAAAGAAAGAAAAAAGAGAATTGCATATAAACTGCTAACATATAACAGAATAATTCATATTTAGATGTTTTCAAGATCAACACAAAACCTTAAACCATGAATTAAACAAAGTCAAGACTTAAACACAAAATAAGGAACAACTTAAGACAAACAAAAACTCCATACCAAATAAAAGAAAAAAAAATTAAAAGATGGTATTACAAACCTTGAAAATTCAGAGGATGTATTTATTTATGTGATTTTTGTTCAAAAGGGAGAAAGAAAGAGCCTGATGTCTTTTGCTGATTGATGAAACTAAGAATGGAGTGTTAGGTACTACTCTTTTGTTTGTTTATATAGTCAAAAGAGTTGAAAATAGAAAAATAAAAATACCCTCATTTTTTAGAATAATTACTTCAAGTGCCACTTTCCACAAATACATTTAAAACTACAAATTTACTGCCACCACGTGATCTGTCTCTATTTGATTATCGTACATTTTTTTCTGTTTGTTTAAGAAGAATATTCTCTCCGCGTAGAATTACATAAAGTGAGTGATGACACCTCAAAGTGAGTGTTAATTCCTCCCTTTTTCCTCATCTTTTAGATATTTTTTACTCTCGGGTCCACAATAAGTCATCAATTTGTCTTTGGCATATTCATTAAGCAAATATTAAATTCTAGACAAAAATAGTTAGTGGCGTTTGGACATAAGAATTGTAAAAGTCCAAAAAAAAAAGTGAAAAGATTTTTCTAATGAAAATGGTATTTGAAAATTATAGTTGCATTTGGACATGAATATAATTTTGGGTTTGAAATTTTGTGAGTGATCTGAGTGAAAATCTTGAAAAATAGCTTTTTGGAGTTTTTCAATTTTTGAAAAATTCCAAAATGCATCTTCAAGTGAAAATTTGAAATTTTATGAACAAACGTTAATTTTGAAAAAAATAGAAATTTTTCGAAAAAAAAGAAAAAAATTCTTATGTCCAAACAGGCTCTTACTATGACTAAACTACCTAAATTAAATATTGCAGCATAATTTAATATGAGGAATAAAAGACTTTTTAAGGATACATAAGAGTAATTTTGAAAAAATAAATAGAATTTTTTCTTGATTAACTAAATTGACACTTATTTTGGACCAAATTAAAAAGGCAAATTGGTCACTTATTGTGGACTGGAGGGAGTACCTTGCACAGTACTCCCTCCGTCTTCGTATCATATTATTAGAGGTGTACATGAACCGGGTTGGTATGGTTTTTATCAAAACCAAACCAAACCAACTATATCGGTTTGGATTGGTTCGGTTTTGTCGGATTTTTCGGGTTTTTTGAATTTTTTGTAACTTAAATATTATTTCAATCTTACTTTGTTAAATTTTTTATAATTAAATATATGTAGTAAAAATATAAGAAATTGACAAAATATTATCTATTAAAATATTTTTATGGGAGAATTTTCTTAGTAACACATAATAATTATTTTTTTAGTCGTCTAACTATAATTTTTCGTTGATGTACACTTTCAAGGTTAACCGAATTTAGTAAATAAACATAAAAATCAATATGATACCTAAATAATAATAATCACTTCACATTCGAAAAAGATATAAGAATTTTATAGATCTTAACATATGATATAAATATGGAAGAACAAAGAGATTGACGCATTTTAGTAACACTTGACGAGAAAGATCATACAACCCATTATTTAAGGTTAATAAATATGGAGTACTTCATATACTATTAAATATTATATCCCGCAAGAGAATCCCAACTATTTCTAGTCATTTTTAAAAAAAGTTCTACATAAAATCTTAAAAGTATATATAAAAATTATATATTTATGTCGATTTGGTTCGAGATTTTTTTACTCAATACCAAACCAAACCTAGTCGGGTTTTTCTAATCGGTTTGGTTTGACTTTTCGGTGTAGTTTGGTTTTCCGATTCGGTTTGTATACCCCTACATATTATCAGTCGTCGTTACTAAAAATAATTATCAAATTATTTATCATTTTAGAAGTTCAAGACAAAATTAATTAATTATTTCCTTTTTTATCCTTAGTAATAGATTTTCTTGAAGACTACAAATACCTCAATTATGAGTAAGTATTAAGTGAAGAGATTATATCTTAAGACATAAATAAAGGTAAAATAGTAAAAAATATTTCTATTTAATATATTTCTTAAGGGGCGTGTAAAATAAAAATACTGACTGATAATTTAAGACAGAGGAAGTAGTAAATATCAATAATATTTTTTTTCTTTATCTTCTAATTCAAAATTTATTGGCTAGACTAATAATTCGATGTCACGTGTATGGTTCATTTAAGGAGAAAACATCTTACCGAAAGTTCATCTATATCCGAAACTCTAATCCAAATTTTTTAATTAAGTATAGAGGGATCTAATCCGTCCAACATTTTGATCATAGTATTCAGTTGGAATACTTACGGACTAGAAAAAGTGTGAAAGAAAAGTTTTAGTGTATATCTAAGATTGATGTATAGTTCATTGAATCTTCCCTACGTCACTTGGAAAAATTAATGCGCAAAATTATATGTCATGAAGATATATTCATTCATTGTAAAAATTGTACGGGGCGTCCTATTTGGTCGCTCTCATTTAATGTATATTTATTTTTTAAAAAGTTTTAACTTGTACCCACTTTTTAAACAAATTATTCTTCTTCTTCTTCTTCTTCTTCTTGTTCTTCTTCTTCTTCTGTTGGTGCTGCTATGAAACTTCAGTTCATGGGAGGATTGCCATAAGTATGTTTATCAGATTATTTAAAAATATATTATAAATAATTTTGTAAGTTAGTAGACAATAATTTGTGAATAATTCCACGTAATTCTGTTCTTTTCACGTTTATTGTTTTTAAATTTTATGATTTAGATATTGTTGGCAATCTGATTATTTTATAGTAGTAATACACTATGAAAGAATAAGGTGATTATTTATTTAATATGTTAGAAAGCTTTTTCAAAAACTTCAGCTTATATAGTGCTGAAGTTTTTACAAATAAACTAAATAACTTCAGCATCTTCTGCTGAAGTTTTTGAAAAAGCTTTATGACAAAACTAATGAATCCAAGACAAAAAATTTCAGCTTATTTAGTGCTGAAGTTTTTACAAATGAACTAAATAACTTGAGCATCTTCTGCTGAAGTTTTTGAAAAAGCTTATCCAGGACAAAAAACTTCAGTTTATTTAGTGCTGAAGTTTTTATAAATGTACTAAATAACTTCAGCATCTTCTGCTGAAATTTTTGAAAAAGCTTAATGACAAAACTAATGAATCCAAGACAAAAACACTCCAGCTTATTTAGTGCAATTCCAAACAAAAACTTTAGCAAATAGAGAACAAAACTTCAGCTACTATCCTTAAGTTCAGCAATTACACACAAAAGCTTCAGCACACTTGCTACTTTAGGCCCGTCGACTAGAATGCTGAAGTTTTGCGTGATTGCCTTTGCTACTTCAGCCTCGTATGCTGAAGCGAAAAAGTGGGCACGCTTGCAATATTTTTTTGCAAAGCGGTCACAAGTTAAAACGTGACCCAAAAAGCGGGTATAGATGCAAATGCCCCCATTATACAATTAGTGGAATATTTTGGGGATATTATCACTTTTAGCCCGCACCAAAAACTACTTACATTTGATAGCCGAAAAAATGTATAAAATATATATAATTTTTATATATAACATACAGAATGTATATATATACAAAATATATTACATTTTTTCGGGGCTATATAGTATCATTTTTCCTATGTTTGTTGTCTTTTTCTTCATCAAATATATTTAACAATAATATTAATCTGGGTGATTAAACTAAAACAAATGCGAAATTGTGAAGTATAGGAAACTGGAAATGAAAACAAGAATTAAATTGAATGTTTAAAAATATTATGTGGTACATTACATCTAGGTGAGATTTACAAAAGGGATTTTTATATTCCTATGTCATATCGTAAATTATATTGCCCTCCATACTTAACTTTTAATATAATTATCTTTTATATACCTAACATTTATGTACATTTTAGGGGTTAATGGTATTAATTAGTCTCCTAATTTAACTCTACTGTATATTCTCACTCCCCCAAGTTTCTCTCTCCAAATCTTACCCCTCACCCACGTATCAAATCAGACCCCACGATTTCCTCTTCAATCACCCACTATTTCCTCTTCTAAACCAGCGAAAATCTGTAATCCCTCCACCATTGACAATCATTAAAAAGCTTTGAAACTTTGGATTTGAATTTGGGTTTTCAAAAGACATTGTTTGTTTGGATTGGATGTTGTTGCAAAGAATTGATAATTCTCTCTACGTCTCTCTCTATCTCTCAACCCTAAATTTTAGTAATATAAAGCAAAGGAAAAGAGAGCAGCAATTCCACCATTGACATCCATTAAAAAGCTTTGAAGCTTTGAATTCGAATGGATTTTCAAAAATCATTATTTGTTTGGATTGGGTGTTGTTACAAACAATTGGGAATATGATTTGGAGTTTATATCTCAATTTTAAGGGGTTTTGGTGAAGATTAGACTTGATTTTGGCTGATTTTCAGATGGAACAACATTGTATAAAAATTGTATT